CTGTGGGAAATTTAATCCAAATATTTTGGGCCACACTACATAATTGCAAGGGTCTGTAGTGTAAGTTATTGCTGACGAGTAGGGAAAAGAAGTCTGCAAACCTGTCTTTCTAGTATTTCACTGACTTTAAGCAGAACTAAAGTTACAGGACCAGGTTGTTACTGAGGCCTCAGGAAAGCTGGCAGCCAAACAAGCTGCCTAGTCAGTCCTCTTCCCCATCGTTATTCTCCTTTAGAGATTCTCATCATTTTAATGGGCCGCCCCATTCTTCCTAGTTCAGCTCACCAAGTCCTTTCTGGGCTTGTGCCTGAGGAAGAGTCCTACTTGTCTGTGCCTAGGATCTGTGCTGCTCTCACTCAAAAAGGGGGAAAGGAAATTCGTCACATACCTTGAACAAAGATGCTGTCACAAATATGGATTCGCAGGCTAGGTCCACTTCAGCACCTGAATCAAGCTTCTCCTTGAGCTCTTTGCAGGTTTTTGCACTTCCAGAGCGTCTGAAAATACCCTCGGTGGAAGGGCCCTCTTGGTAAAGGAGGGAAAGCATGTCCTAAGCAAAATTAAAAGACAGAGAGGCTTTCTCAGAAATCTGTTTTCCTGCCTAGTGCCATTAAAATATAGTTTTGCCACTTTAGCCACAGGTGAAAACCTTTGAATCCTAAAAAAACTCAGATCAAACCCAAGTCAAGGCTCCCTATCCAAGCCATGCGACGCTGCTCAGCTGTTGTCCGGAGCACTGATTTTGGAAAACATCCCCTCAGAAATACTGTGCTACCACTGTTGAGCTCTAATGTCCTGCATGATCTTCCAGGATTTGTGCAAGTTTTAGCCAAGTCATATAAATACATAAACACTGTGGTATGGGAGAAGGAGAGCAGTCTGCCTAATCCAAAGCTCTGCACTTAGTGGCCTCAGCCAGACACCACTTTGCAGGAGGATACAAAACCCTCACTACTTATCAGTGTGTTCAGTATTGTCACTGATGAAGAGATGAAGACTTCTGTTTCATGCCTGAGATCTGAAAAAATGAGATTTATCTAAGCTGGAAAGTGCTCTGTTAATATCTATCTGCACTACTACAGCATATCAGAGCCAGATTTTTACCCTTTTTGTTTTTTGTGAGTGTATTGCACTCTGCAAGCAGCTCAGGACTGTTAGTGGGATGTGAGGGGTCACCCAGAAGGGGCTAAAGCTTGGCTTCGGGCTCCTGGGAGTCAACAGCCAGGTAACTCAGTATATGAGGTATTGAAAACTAAAGAGCAAACGAGCAGATTCTTGCCTAGCTTTTAAAATACCAGGAGGGCCTGATTTCTTCTGCTAAATAAGAGAGGAAAGTGAGCAGAAAATGAAATGCTGCAATCAGAGACCTCTCCTGAGGTAATATGTACATGACGTTTTCCAGCTGCTTAATTCTCTGCAGTCTCCTGTGGGTCGTCTCTCAGACATGCTGGTCACCTCCCCCCAGGCCTGCTCCAAGTGATGTGGAATTTGTTATAGAATCATAGAATCGTTTGGTTTGGAAGGGACCTCAAAGACCATCTAGTTCCACCCCCCCTGCCATGGGCAGGGACACCTTCCACTAGACCAGGTTGCTCAAAGCCTCATCCAGCCTGGCCTTGACCACTTCCAGGGATGGGGCATCCACAGCTTCTCTGGGCAACCTGTTCCAGTGCCTCACCACCCTCTCTGGGAAGAACTTCCTGATATTTAATCTAAACCTCCCCACTTTCAATTTAAACCCATTACCCCTTGTCCTGTCACTACAGGCTCTTGTAAAAAGTCCCCCCCAGCTTCCCTGTAGGCCCCTTCAGGTATTGGAAGGTGCTATAAGGTCTCCCCGGAGCCTTCTCTTCTCCAGGCTGAACAAGCCCAACTCTCTCAGCATGTCCCCATAGCAGAGGTGCTCCAGCCCTCTGAGCATCTTCGTGGCCTCCTCTGGACTCACTCCAACCGGTCTATATCCTTCATGTTGAGGGCTCCACAGCTGGACGCAGCACTCCAGGTGGGGTCTCACCAGAGCAGAGTACAGGGGCAGAATCCCCTCCCTCGACCTGCTGGTCACACTTCTCTGGATACAGCCCAGGATACGGTTGGCTTTCTGGGCTGCCAGCGCACACTGCTGGCTCATGTGCAGCTTTTCGTCATGTTTGTCTCTCCCGAGGGGAAGACCCATGCAGACAGTCCCTGGGATAACATGGATGCACACAGTGGTCTGGAGACCAAGTTACCATAAGAAATGGCAAGAAAAGGGACACACAGGGGAGAGTCTGTCATCATTAAATCGAGTTACTGTAACAGAAATGGCTAAGCAGTGTGGTTTGGTGACTTTCCTAGCCTGTGCTGCGAGGTTGGTCATTCTGAGACACAGCAAGGCAAGTAAGTCTGATGGAAACTATTATTTTTACTTTTCTTCTTTAACGCTTCTTTCTTGCTCTTGCAGAAGTTGAAAGCCAACCATCCATGTGAGTCTGCGCAGACACTTTAGAGAGCACCTTCC